GCAGGTGGCCATCCAGCTTAATAGATATTAACAGGTTCATAGTTAATGAAATCAAAGGCTCCTGGAGATGGAAGGGACCCCAAAGAGGGCCGTCCAGTCCAACTCCATTCTGCCAGGCAGGAAAAGCACCATCCGACCCCTCCTGACAGATGGCCACCCAGCCAACAATAGATGGTCATACACACATACATATATGGTATATGTTAGATATAGGATTCTAGAGTTAGAAGGGGCCCTTAGAGGCCATCCAGTCCATTCCCCCTTTGGCCATAAAGGAAAAGCACCATCCAACCCCTCCTGACAGATGGCTACCCAGCCAACAATAGATGGTCATAGTTTTTAATATATCTATATCTATACATATAATAAAAGTAAAAGTTTGTGTGCAAGGGAGGACAGAGGGGGGGACATAGGGTGGAGGAGTTTGTGGCAGCTTTCCGATTGGCTGCCACTGTGGTACAATTTGCATATGATCTCTGAATGGCCAATCAAAACATTCCAAGAGGCTGAGAGGGGAAAGGAAATTTGCATATGTTTTCTGATTGGCCAGCATCAACGGGAGTTCCTGGTGGCGAAGAGGGTCAATGAGAGAAGCGGGGACATGAGAGAAGGAAATTTGCATATGGTTTCTGATTGGCCAGCCTAAACAGGAGCCCCTGGGGGCAAAGAGGGTTAATGAGAGAAGAGGGGACATGAGAGAAGGAAATTTGCATATGATTTCTGATTGACCAGCTTCAACAGGAGCTTTCCGATTGGCTGCCACCGTGGTGCTATTTGCATATGGTTTCTGATTGGCCAGCCTCAATTCCGAGATGACAAAGAGAGGAAAGGAAAAGGCCAGGGGCTGTGTCAGAAAATTACCAATAAAGACCAAACTTGGCACACAGAGCCCGCAAGACCCACTCTACATCCTACTGCAGTTTGGAGGAGGATGGACTATGGATGATGGGACTTGCAGTACCATCACTCACTTTCTGAGACCGCTTTGACACTCATCCAATGACTGATCTAGACCAAACTTGGCACATAGACCTCTCATGACCCACTTTACGCCCTGGTGTGGTTTGGCCGGGGATGGACCATGGATTATGGGACTTGCAGTATATTTGCTCAATTTCTGAGACCATTGAAACCCTCATCCAATTACCGACAAAGACCAAACTTGGCACACTGAGTCTCCATGACTCAGAGTGGTACATCATGCTACAGTTTAGAGGAGGATACACCATGGATGATGGGACTTGAAATACCTCCACTCCCTTCCTGAGACCAATACAACTGCCAACAATGATGGATAAGGACCACAATTTACACAGAGAGCCAGCATGACCCACTCTACATCCTGATGCGGTTTGGAAGAATTTGGAGAAGGATGATGGGACTTGCAGTCACTTCACTCACTTCCTGACACCACTGAGATCCTCACCAATGACTGATCAAGACCAAACTTGGCACACTTAGCCCCCATGATCCACTCTACATCCTGATGTACTTTCGAGGAGGACAGACCATGGATGATGGGACTTCAAGTACCTCCACTCACTTCCCAACACTGCTACAACCCTCATCTAATGACCGATCAAGACCAAACTTGGCACACAGAGTTCCCTTGAGCCACTCTACATCCCGGTGCTGTTTGGAGGAAGATGGATGATGGATAATGGGACTTGCAGTACCTTCACTCACTTCCTGAGACCACGGCAACACTCATGCAATGACTGATCAAGACCAAACTTGGCACACAGAGCCCCCATGTCCCACTCTCCATCCTGGTGCAGGGTGGAGGAGGATGGACCACAGATGAAAGGCCTCGCAGTACCTTCACTAACTTCCTGAGACCACTGCCAGCCATATAAATATCTGATAAAGGCAAAACTTTATACAATATTCCTTTCTCAAATAACCCAGGCAACGCCAGGTCCCTAAGCTAGTATAAAAATAAAACATGGTATATGCTAGATATATCATAGGATTCTAGAGTTAGAAAGGACGCTTTGAGGCAATCCAGTCCATTCCCCCTTCGGCCATAAAGGAAAAGCACCATCCGACCCTTCCTGACAGATGGTCATCCATCCTCATATCCTTTAGTGTGCTCATGGAGAAATATAATCATAGGGCCCTAGAGTTAGGAGGGACCCTTAGAGGCCATCCATTCCAACCTTATTTCCCTCAAATATGAAGACACAATCTAATCCCTCCCAACGGACGGCCATCCAGCGAGTTTGTGGACTCAAAACCCACAAAATCCAGGTAACAAACCATGTCTCTGTGGACTGGGGCAATTTTTATGGTTAGGATTGCCTTATTATTACGAGGCTTTACAGCCCCATTTGTTCTTCTCCGGGGCTCCTTCCTTTCCCTGCCATTTGTCATCCATCGCAAGGCTTGCTTCCTCTATAATAATCCAATCCAGAGCTAATTTATTATTATTATTATTATTATTATTATTATTGTTGTTGTTGTTGTTGTTGTTATTGTTTGCGGCAGGTTTACGAGGTGGAGGTTTGCATGCGGAACCACTGACAGCCGTAATTTTGCGCCAGAGAGAGAGCGAGCGAGACGGACAGGGTTATACTAATAATAAACGTGATCTATGTCTATGTAAATGTATTCCAATCAAAATAGAAGGAGAAGCGAAAGGCACCGTGATTCACACCTTTATTATGGATTTCCCAGCAATGCCTTCTCTCTTGCGCCAGAAACAGTGCTTTATGGCCTCCGAGGAAGAGATTTATGGATTGGCTTCCTATTTCGGCAGGCTCTATTACTATTATTATGCTTATTGTTATTATTATTATTATTATTATTATTATTATTATTATTATCTGTCCAAAAAAGAGACTCAAAGTGGCTCACAAAAAAGCCAAAACCTCAATGAAAATGAAAAACCTCAAAATATGCAAGCATTAAAACGCTCGTTCATGTTATTTCTATTATTATTATTATTATTATTATTATTATTATTATTATTATTATTTCTGGCTTCAGGAAAGGCAAAAGATACACATCACAAGTGTTGAACTTGACTCAGCACATAGAAGATGGCTTTGAAAGGCAGAAGATGACAGGCTCTGTCTTCACAGACCTGTCACCAGCTTATGACACCGTACATCATCGCCTTCTCCTGAGAAAAATAATATCACAAAGGACGACAACCTCACCCGTCTCATAGGAAATCTGCTACAAAACAGGAGTTTTTTTGTTGAGTTCCGGGGCCAGAGAAGCAGATGGCGGAAACAGAAGAACGGCCTGCCTCAGGGGAGCGTGCTTGCTCCATCCATGTGCAACATTTACAGAAATGACCAGCAACTGCCAGAAGGGTTTCATCTATGTTGATGATTGTGCCATTACCACCCAAGCAGGGAGCTTTGAGATGGTTGAACAGAAGCTCTCTGAAGCTCTAGGTCAGAGGTCCACAAACTTTTTAAACAGAGGGCCAGGTCACAGTCCCTCAAACTGTTGGCAGGCCAGATTATAATTCGAAAAAATACACTATGTACACTGCACATATCTTATTTATAGTGCAAAAACATTTAAAAGCAATACAATAATTAAAATTAAGAACAACTTTAACAAATATAAACTTATTAGTATTGCAATGGAAAGTGTGGACATGCTTTTGGCTGTTGAGATAGGACTGCTGTTGTTATTGTGTGCTTTCAAGTAGTTTCATACTTGAGTTGACCCTGAGCGAGGGTAAATGATCTTGGAGGGCTGCATCCGGCCCCCGGGCCTTAGTTTGAGGACCCCTGTTCTAGGTGCTCTTACTGCCTTTTACACGGAAAATCGGCTTGCATTTGTGTATGTTTAACACCTACACAAATGACTAGCCACGGCCAGAAGGGACAGATAATTTCATCTATGCTGATGATTGTGCCATCACCGCCCAAGCAGGGAGCTTTGAAACAGTCAAACAAAAGCTCTCCGAAGCTCTAGGTGCCTCTTACAGGGAAAACCAGCTTGCACCATCAATATTTAACTGCTGCAGCTGTGTTGCCTATTCTGAAATGCTTTTTGGAAATGACCCAAACAATAACAATAACAACAACAGCTCCAAGCAAAGATAACAATAATGCTAATGCTAATGCGAATAATAATAATAATAATAATAATAATAATAATAATAATAATGGCTCTACTGCTGGCATTGGAAGCTTCCGACCTGCTGAACTGCTGTGGCTGTGTTGCCGTTTTGAAATGCTTTTTGGAAATGACCCAAGCAAAGAAAATAACAACAACAACAACAACAACAACGGCTCCAAGCAAAGATAGCAACAATACTAATGCTAATAATAATAATACACTGGAAGCTTCCAACCTGCTGAACTGCCTCTTTTGTTCTCCTGTGAGCATAGAGAGAGGCAAGATGCCTCCCAAGAGATGGCTAGATAGATGGGAAGGCTCTCTACTTTCCTATACAGTAATGAATAAAGTCTTTTATACCTTGGCTTTGCTGAAGCTCATTGGCTCTACTGCTGCGCTCAAGGAGCTTCAGGCCTGGCTGTGTTGCCGTTTTTGAAATGCTTTATGGAAAGGACCCAAGCAAAGTTGATAGTAACAATAACAACAACAATGACTCCAATACTGTATTAGCATTAGTATTATTTTTATCTTGGCTTGGAGTCATTGTTGTTGTTATTGTTAATGCTAATGCTAATGCTAATAATAATAATAATAATAATAATAATAATAATAATAATAATAATAATAATGGCTCTACTGCTGGCACTGGAAGCTTCCAACCTGCTGAACTGCCTCTTTTGTTCACCTGTGAGCATAAAGAGAGGCAAGATGCCTCCCAAGAGATGGCTAGATAGATGGGGAGGCCCTCTACTTTCCTATACAGTAATTAATTAATACATTTTATACCTTGGTTTTGCTGAAGCTCATTGGCTCTAGTGCTGTGCTCAAGGAGCTTCTGGCCTACCAAACTTCTGCGGCTGCGTTCCCGTTTTTGAGATGCTTATTGGAAAGCACCCCAATGTAAAGCCATGGGTCACCTGTTTGGGCGTATGTCTGCATGGAGCATGGCTCGGGCCTGGTCCTCATCCCGAGGGAAGCCGTGGAGCACCCACCCGCGCACGTGGCACTCCCACTGGCTCAGCCTCTGCGAGAGCAGCTTCAGCACCATGTTGTCCGCCACTGCAAGAGATACAAAGGGGGAAAGGCATCAGAGAGGGAAAGGAAGGGGCAGACCGGGGATATTAAGGCAACACATTGATAAAATAATAATAAAAAATCAATTCAGAAAATAAAAGGGAAGGGTTGACACACAGGCACAAACACGTGCATGGATTGACTCGAGTCTTGTGCGTCACCAAATCTTATGCGCACCCCAGTGTTCAAAACTTCGTGGTTCGCTTTTTTACGGACTCACTGTTTCACGGTTTTTCAATATGGGCTTAAGAGCGTTTGTCTGTATGGAGAAGCTGCCTCTGCGGATAAAGCCGGAGCCCAGGATTACATGAACAACAAGGCCTTGAGTTTCCTCTGCCAAAGGATGCAGAGACTGCACATTCCAGCATCCTATCGCAATCCAAGGAGAAGTGAGGCAGCTTCCCCTTTGGCTTACGTTCGGTGCCAAGATGACCATATCATGCAAATCTAATGCATTTAGATTAGCAGCTTCATTCAGTCCAAAAAGGTGAGCATTAGATTCAAATAAGTATTTGAATAGTACTATTATTATATTGTTGTTATTCTATCAGGATCATGATGATGATGATGATGATTATGGGGTTACACTCAAGAAATGTCCCTGTTCCAACTTACAAACATGAGGCCCTGACTGCTAGGACGATGGTCACATGATCACCTTGCCTTGCTGTGCACTAGGCTTTGGCCTTTGCCTTCACTGGCAATTGGGGCCTGACCATAGAATCATAGAGTTGGAAGAGACCTCGTGGGCCATCCAGTCCAACCCCATTCTGCCAAGAAGCAGGAAAATTGCATTCAAAGCACCCCCAACAGATGGCCATCCAGCCTCTGTTTGCAAACCTCAAAAACCACATTCTGGCCTCCTTGTTGACATAGCATCCTAGAGTTGGAAGGGACCCTTAGGGGCCATCCAGTCCAGCCCCCCTTCTTTCTGCCAGGCAGAAAAGCACCGCACAAGCCCTCCTGACAGATGGCCATCCACCCCTAGATGGGATTGATCTATATAAATAAAAATGTAATGTTTGTTTGTAGGATTAACATAACTCAAAATCCACTGGGCAAATTGACACCAAATTTGGATACCAGACACCTCTCAGGCCAATGAGTGACCATCACTCATAAAAACACTGAAAAACACAGTGAGAGAGACTTAAAAGGCCAAAAAAATTAAAAATATATTACAACACATGCGCAAAACCACACATATCCACATATATACACACAGAGTACACATAGACACAGACTGGGCCACAGGAACACGTGGCAGGGGACAGCTAGTGTATGTGTCTGTGTGTGTGTGTATATATATATACACATACATAGGTATATAATAGAATCTTGAGAGTTGGAAAAGACCTCAGTCTGACGCCTTTTTTTCTGCCCACCACTAAAAAGCATAACTTGATCCCTCCCAACAGAGGGCCAGCCAACCCTTGCTTCATATAACAACAACAACAACAATAAAGTTGGAAGGCCCATCTGGTCTGACCCCCTTCTTTCTGCCAGGCAGGAAAAGCACAATCGAAACCCTCCTGACAGATGGCCATCCAACCTCACAGATTCCTGAGAAATAGGGCTATAGAATTAAAGACTCCTGTAGTTGGAAGGGACTCTCAAGGGCCATCCGGTCCAACTTCATTTCTGTCATAGACACCACCAAAGTCCTCCCGACAGAAAGCCATCCAGTCATAGATTGATTGATAGATATCATAGATATAGATATACATATACATATAGATATAAAACAGGCCCAGTTATCAGGGACTCCTAAAGACCATCCAGTCCAACCCCTTTCTACATAGACACCACACAAAGCTCTCCTGACAGATGGCCATCCAGCCATAGATTGATAGATAGGTAGATAGGAGAAACCTAGATGACAGGGAGCCCTAAAGGCCATCCAGTCCAACCCCTTTCTACATAGACACCACACAAAGCTCTCCTGACAGATGGCCATCCAGCCATAGATTGATAGATAGGTAAATAGGAGAAATCTAGATGGCAGGGAGCCCTAAAGGCCATCCAGTCCAACCCCTTTCTACATAGACACCACACAACGCTCTCCTGACAGATGGCCATCCAGCAATAGATTGATAGATAGGTAGATAGGAGAAATCTAGCTGGCAGGGAACCCTAAAGGCCATCCAGTCCAACCCCTTTCTACACAGACACCACACAAAGCTCTCCTGACAGATGGCCATCCAGCCATAGATTGATAGATAGGTAGATAGGAGAAACCTAGCTGGCAGGGAACCCTAAAGGCCATCCAGTCCAACCCCTTTCTACATAGACATCACCCAAAGCTCTCCTGACAAATGGCCATTCAGCCATAGATAGATAGATAGATAGATAGATAGATAGATAGATAGACAGACAGACAGATAGGAGAAACCTAGATGGCAGGGACCATCTAGGCCATCCAGTTCAACCACTTTCTACATAGATATCACCCAAAGCACTCCTGACAGATTGTCATCCAGCTTATCGTAGAATTCTAGAGTTGGAAGGGTCTTCCAAAGGTCAATTGTTCCAACCCCTTCTTTCTACCAGGCAGGAAAATTACAACCCGATCCCTCCCGACAGATGGCCATCCAGCTTTTATTTCAAAGCCCTCAAAAAAGGAGCTCCGAGGCAAAGAGTTCCTCTGTTGAATGGCGCTTACAATTAGGGAGTACTTCCTAATAGGTTCAGGTGAGATCTCCTCTGTCTATATAACAACAACAACAACAACAACAACAACAATCTCCCTGCGAGTATTCAGGGCAGCTATAGAAAGGTAAACATATATATACATATACATAATATATATATATGTGTGTGTGTGTGTGTGTGTGTGTGTGTGTGTGTGTGTGTGTGGTCAATATTGAGTATTGAGGGTGGAAGCCTGTCCCAGCCACGTTTTCCCTCTCACTTTAAGGACTAGGGAACTTTCGACAGATAAGAAAATAACTCCTCCGCTGCCAAACATGCTCCGACTTGCAGGGCTCCCTTGACCGCTGCCTCTGCCTTTCAAAGGAGAGCCCAGACCAGGCCTGACAGGTATTGACCTCCCTGCCTTTTGATGCCTCTGCCTTCCTCCTCCCAAAGAGAAAAGCCTCCTTTCCGCTGCCATGAATTCAATTCCAGCAATGCACAGGCTGATGCCCGAGGCTGGATCTCCCGCTTTGACAGTGAACATCTTACCCTGATTTGCAGGCAAAACTGCCCAAGGCTTCTCTCTCCGGCGGGTGGCCGACTCTGCAAAGCGCACGGAGGCCAGAATCCCCAACGATCCCCCACAAAGGTCAACATGACTGGGTTCAAAGGTTAAGAGAAGGTCTCCCTCTGGCTGTTTTCCGGCCTCTGCTCTTTTCTAAAAGCCAAACGGAGAACACAAAGAGCCCAGGACTGACCCCAAGGAGCCCAGCCATATATATATAGACTTTCCCTATGCTATCCAAAACACACACATGTATGTTTGTGTGTGTGTGTTTTATATACAGGCAGTCCCCAAGTTACAAACAAGATCAGTTCTGCAGGTTTGTTCTCAAATTGAATCTGTATGTAAGTTGAAATAGGGACATCCTTAAGTCATATAATTAATATAATTAATTATATTAATTAATATAATTAATTATATTAATTATATATTAATTTACCAGTCTGAACTGATTCTCCCCTATGAACCATCAAGGTTATTAAGATCGTCTGGAGGGGCCCTGCTCTCGGTCCCACCACCTTCGCAATCATGTCTGGTGGGGATGAGGGACAGGGCCTTCTCAGTGGTGGCTACTCGGCTCTGGAACTCCCTTCCACTAGAGATTAGATCTGCCCCTTCCCTCCTGTCGTTTAGAAAGCTACTAAAAACCTGGCTTTGGAATAAGGCATTTGATGGTTGAGTCAATAACCTTTGTGCACACGGAAGGATGGTGATGAATCGTAACTGTATTTGACGACCTGGCTTGTGTGATGTGATGATGTTTTTATTGTATTTTTCGGTTTTTATTATTTAATGATGATGTTTTGTACTGTTTATATTACTGTATTTGAGATCATGCTGTAAACCGGCCTGAGTCCCTCTCCGGAGGTCGAGAAGACCGGTATATAAAACTTCGAAATAAATAAATAAATAAATAAATAAATAATATATATATACACACACACACGCACACTCATAAACATATACATATACATCTATATAAATAAAATTGTAATGTTCGTTTGTGGGATTAACATAACTCAAAAACCACTGGACAAATTGACACCAAATTTGGACACAAAACACCTGGCAGGCCAATGAGCGACCATGTCATAAAAACACTGAAAAACACAGAGTTTAAAAGCCATTTTTTTTAAAAAACCATTACAACACATACGCATAACCACAAATATATACACAAACACACATATATACACATATACACAAATATACACACACACAAAGCACATATCCACAGACTGGGCCACAGCAACGCATGGCAGGGGACAGCTAGTATCTATATAAATACAAATGTAATGTTAATTTGTGGGATTAACATAACTCATAAAACACTGGACAAATTGACATCAAATTTGGACACTATACCCATATCAGGCCAATGAGTGACCATCACTCATAAAAACACTGAAAAACACAGTGGAAGGGACTTAAAAGGCCAAAAAAACAAAAAAACACATTACAAAGCACGTGCAAAATAATTCCCCCTGGCAAACAAAACACACAATATCATATCCACATTCTCTTCCAAACCTCAGCCCCCAGCATCCCCTAGACGAGGCCCTTTAGGAGAGGAGGATGACCCAAATGCACTGCTTTCGTCTCCTTGGATTTCTTTGAGAGCATATATTTATACACACATATGAATGATGATTCCTGTCCGCTGCCCCTCTTCCCCTGCCTGTGATCCAAATGCACTGCTTTCCAAGTTGCAAGCTTTTCTTCTCCTTGGATCTCTTTGAGAGCATATTGCATATTTCCTTGCATATTTCCAATTTCCTATTCCTGG